GCCATTTCTTCTTTCATTTTTAATTTAACATTTGAATTATCTGTGTGTGGCCGGACATTTCTAATATTTTACAATTTAATCAATCTAGGACAGTTAGTTTGCCTGAAGAATTTACTATTTTTACATTTCTTAAATAAAAAATCTGCAGAAAAGCAAATGTAAATGCAAACTCATGAAACTTTTAAACATCTGGAAAAACACGAAGATCATAAATAATTTGGAGGGTAAGAAAAATATCAAATATAAATAATCAGATCACAGTTTATAAAAATAGTGTATATGTGGAGGTGTCTGCGCTACCAACTTCCATGCATCAACATTGATTTAAATTTTTCGTTTTCTGAAGTGAAATAACTCTGTCCTGATTTTGTGGTTCAAAATCCAGATTTTATGTTTTTCTTCCCCCATGTAGCCATTTTTGACCCTCTTTTATCTAAATTTACAGCCTTTTGTTTTACTTGGAGCATATAAAAATATTTCAGGAGTAGACATTACACAGGTGAAATGGATACACTTATACATTTTTTTATCCTGTTTAGTTTTGACAAAATAACTTGCTCTTCTAGAAAAAAAGAGTAAACATATAAAAATATTTTAAAGACATAAAATATATACTAATAAAAATGGTAAAACTATTTAAAGCATTTAAACTAATTATATGTGAGATTTCAATAGGATAGTTCATTAGTCCAATCCTTGAAATAATCCCAAAGCGGCATGAATTCCTCTGCAGAATGAATGTCTATAGAGAGTAATCCATGGAAGACAGACAAGCCTCTTGTCATCTGTAGCCTTAATCCATTGCCTAGAGCATGAAAAGTGCCCAGGATAACAAGTGTGGGAATCAGTAAAACCAACATTATTTTTGGATTTTATTTTCTTAACAATACTGGCTGATCAATAGGCTTGCGGAAACTGACAAATACAATAAGATCTGTTTGATGAGTCAATCTAGTGAAGTAGAGAGAATTCCTCCTTCCTTTTCCCCATTCTCCCCCTCTTTAAATCCTCCTGGTCCTCTTCCTCCTTCTCCACCTACATTCACACAAGCCACACATTCAAAGGCAGAGAGGGAGAGAGAGAGAAAGAGAGCGCGCTGTGCTTTCTCTGTTGGTCTGTAGACATTAAGTAATGAAAGCTGTAGTGACAATGCTTAGATCATTTTCTTAAGAATACTAAGCCACTTTCAGTAGGTGTTTATGTTTTTAATTGTGAGACTCACTCTCTCCCTTCAATCAAGAAGTTTCCATACTATTGAAGTTGAGTCTCTGGATTCCAAGTGCTGTATCTGGAGGTGGGGGGTGGGGAGCGGTGGTAGGAGAGGGTAGGGCAGAATCAGTTGGGGAATAAAGGAGAGAAAGTTCTGTTCTGTTAACTTTTTTGTACGTCCCCTAAAGATTCTTATAAAAATATCAGCTTTGAGTAAAACTGAACCAAAAATAAGAGAGAAAACTGAGAGGCCACAGACAACTACTTGTTTCAGAAGGAAGAACTAATGGTGTTCGTATGACTGCCTGAACACATGCCTATGCGAACCACAGAAAATTTAGTAACCCTTCAGCAGCTCATGAAGACACGGAGATATTCTTTTCATGTTACTCCTTGACACTCAGCAGGGACTTTTGTGAACTTTGTCATCTTCCGCTGCCCTTTAAACCAAAACTAGGGAAGTGTCTTTAATTAATGAGATGTGATGCATTAAAAATGTTAGCCAGAGCATTCCAGAAGCTGGAAAACCATAGATGTTTTTAAATTCTGAGTATCCTTTTGAGAATCCCCCGTTGTAATTTATAATTCTCAGAGGACCTATATTTGTCTTGAACTGATTGTTGGAATGGGCTTTACTAGGAATGTCTTCCCTGAAATTGCAGTGGGACAGAGGAAGGGGGTGGTTGAGCCCAGGGGGTTTGTTGGGAGGCGGGAATGATCTCTAACAAGGCTTTAAAACCTTCAGTGGTTAAAGTTGTATTGATGAGGATATATAGACACACACACACACACACACACAAAATGCACAAGTTCAACAGGATTGTATAATGAGCATGAATTGTAAATTTTGTAGGTAGCAGAATTCAGATTTTTTAAATCAAAATTGCACCCAAAAATGGCTATAAAACAACGCTTGCCTTGGGAAGTAAATTTATAGCTACATGCCTTTCACAGGCACGCCGGAGGGTTCTGCTCCCGGCTCTAATCTCTACGAGATGTTTTTTGCATGTGTTGTGTGACAGGAGGGAAGGGGAGTGGGTTGAGCTCGCCTGTTCTCCCATTGTCAGCCAGTCTAGTGAGTGTTGGGGAAACCTGTCTGTGGGATCTTGTGTCATCTCCCCCTACATGCGTACAGGAAAAGTCCGCGCTGCTCACGGTCTCTCTCTCTCTCTCTCTCTCTCTCTCTCTCTCTCTGTTTCCCTTTCATTCTGCTTCCCCGGAGCCGAATGAAGCAGGGAGCAGGATTAGAGTCTGCCACCGGCTATCAGAGGAGCTTAGATAAAAGGAACTGCTTCTTAAGCACCACTGCAGCAGACCTTGTTAATTTTTTTTTTTTTTTTCTTTCCACACAACAGTTGTGCCTCATTATCCGGTGCCTGGCTCGGAATTTTTTTTTTTTTTTT